ACAACAAGTAGAGTTACAACAAAAGACGTCAGTGAAGAAGAATAGGTGAGACGGGTAAGAACATATAACAAAAGAAAAAAGAAATATGAAGTCATCCATATATCCTAACAGTCCCAGCATCAATTTCAGATCCCTATAGTGAAAATATACTAAAGAAAGTGTACAAAAAATTTCTGTCCAAACCTTGTCTTAAAATTTTTCAAAGATTCACTCAACATGGTCAAACAAAAGCAGATACTGAATTTTTGAGTCAATATTTGGAAAGACCAACAAAATTCTGAGTCTTATTAACCCTTTTGATTTTCATCAGTGGCTTTTAATTGATCGAAAAATGATCGAATATTTTATACGAAGAATTGTTTTTGACAAAGGTTATATTTAATATTCAGAAATTGGATATTCTAGGAACTATTCGATTCAATAGAGTATCAACGAATTCTACTCTAATCGAATTACACAATTACGGAGAATTCAAAGACATATTATTTCTATTCTAGTAGATAATCAAATAAAGAATTTGAATAATTGACGGACAATTGAACAAATCTTCCAATATTCGAGACTTGTTATAGAAAGATAACATGGACTGATTTGTAGCAGAAATAAAAGCACACTGAATTGAGAATAACAATTTATTTCTGGCACATTTTTATATTCTTTTACAACAAAAGATAGCATTTGTTTCAGACTTATCCGTCAAAAATGAATTATTTTCATTCTCAAAGTAACTGAAGGGGAAAAGAAAAAACTTCTTCAGCTATTTTTGGTATTGACAAATACTTTCAGTTATATCAGAAAGAACGTCGATTCTTCATCTCATAATAGAGTAAACTTATGCACTATAACTACTGTATCTACACAGAAAAGAAGGAAAAAAAACTGTTCGACATTTTCCTCCAAAGAAAAATGTCCGATGACAATATTTATTCTCGACTCCTCCACCGAACAGAACAAAAATAAAAGATAGTCTAGTTTGTTGTTTGATTGCTTCACGTGCATACGTTTTTTTTCTACAAAAGTAGCAACACGTGAAGTATGCTATCATTTACGTTTGTAGTTATTTTTCTCTTTGCACTAATCTTATAATACTATGTAAAACGTGTTTTTTTCACTTTGCATGGCTCATTGCCTGGTCTACCACCTCAATTTCTATTTGGAAATTTATTACAAACAGGTATTATAGGACAAAATGTTCCGATGACTATTGTATTTTTGCAGCTGAAAGCTAAATTCGGTGATATATTTCAATTTTGGCTTGGTCCTACTCGTATCGTTGTTGTTAGTTGTCTTGAAGATGTACAACACATTTTTGCACATCGACAAATCTATGATCAAGGAGATATTTTTGTTGACAAAATCGGCCTTGTCAATCCAAATGCAATTCTATGCTTACGAGGTTAGACGACTTAATTTTAATTAATATTTTCGACTGACCGAGTTTAATAAAACTAGAAGTATCGTTTCATTATCTTTTTAAATGTTCGATGAATCATTACTTTGATGATCTTTTTTTTTATCTAACAGAAAATATATATCATAGGAGCCAAATTCAAGCGTCATGCAAGTATTGTCAGTCCATTGTTTCGTGGCAACAAAATGAATATACATTTGGATACAATTCTCGATTGTACAGAGAAATCATTGGCACGTTGGCGAAATTATAACAATGATTCGAATCTGACTCATTTAAATATGATTGAACAATGTCAACAATTGGCATTGGCTATTTTCGGTTTTATTGCTTTTGATTTTGATCTTCAGACACTTGATAATGAAAATAACAGTGGTCAACATGAACTTACTCGTGCATTTTACACACATTTGAGTGCCGCAATGATGTTCATACGATTGCCAACGATTGTTGGTCGACTATATCTAGTTTTAAATCCTGAATATCGACAAGCGAGAGCAATTATTGATCGATATTTGCAACAGATGATCGAACAGGAATTACAAGAAAATTCAGCAATGAGAGCTGAACGGAAGAGAACAAGTTTTATTGCTTCACTAATTACTTCATTGCAACAAGATGAGAAACTTGAAGCAACAAAAATTGAAGAAGATAAAAAAGGTTGTTAATGATCTTCAAGAAATTTCTCTACGTGAAATATTGTACTTTTCAGGTCTTTCTCGAGCAGAAGTCATTGGCGAAATGCTTTCGTTTTTGTCCGCTGGTTAAAGTACAATTTCAACTGCACTCGTCTGGTTCATTTATTTCATGAGCAAACATTCACAAATTCAGAGTAAAATTAAACGAGAATTAGCCGAGTATCATCTTCAACGTCTCTCAGTCGAACAACTCGGTTCACTCACCTATTTGGATTGTGTTCTTCGAGAATTGTTTCGTCTCGTGCCACCTGTTAGTGGCACAGTGCGAACACTCGTTGTAGACGATCGATTACCTGCAAGTGGAGCACCACTGAAGAAAGGTGATCAAGTATTTATTCCATTTTATAATTTGGCTCGAGATTCACGCTATTGGTCCGAATCAATGGATCTTAATGAATTTCATCCAGAAAGATTTTTCAATGAAAATATGGCATATAACAATAAAGCCGCATCGATACCATTTGGTGGTGGTCATCGTCAATGTATGGGACAAGACTTGACTCGATTGGAACTGAAGGCTATTTGTGTACGACTCATGCAATTTGTGACATTTGGCAATGGTGGACCTGAAGTCAATGCCGGTGGATATAATGAGATGGATACTATTTTGCCGAAACACATAGGTGTTACAATTACTTTTGACTAAGAATATTTTCAACGAATATTATTAATAGAGTTTTGCATGGCTTGCTCAACGTGTTTTCCCATATTAGAATTTGGTTATTTTCAACGAGAAGAAAAAGCAAATCATTCTCACTTTTCTCTTGGAATCACACCAAAGAATTAAACATAAAAGAGGTGTGGGGTGTAGGTGTCATCAAAGAGAAGATTCACATCCACACCCCTCCCCCGTAGCCATATCCTAACATTTATGCAAAATAATTACTCAAAGAGTGACGATCTGTCATTTGAAAGAGGAATTCTAGCTTTTGAAAACATTTTATTTTTTTATCTAATGCTGTGATTTGTAGTTATCATTTTTCAAAGTGATGAGTACCATAACTAGTTGAAGCTGAAAACACTGAGAATCTCATTATTATGTTCTATTTTGAAATAATAATTAACACATTCGACGGGATGAGATCCATCGATGGGTCTCACTGTATTTTAACAAGAAACTTAATAGAAAACACCTTCTTTTTCCTTTTTTCTTAGGTGGCAGATTACACATAATGTGCTGTCTGCTTTGTCTTCACTATTTTTTGAATCATTTTTTGCATAGGATAATGTTTCTCATGAAAGCAATCAAGGCAAAAAAATGTATCAGAATCAGAATAGAAGGTTTTTATTTTCTTTGCTGTCGCCAGGCTAGCTTCTCTTAATTGTTGTTGCCTGATTGTCTCGTAGTACCCAGCACAGCGTCTTCGGACATCGCGAGTAGATCCTTCCTTTTCTCCAAGATTGTGATTAGGTAGTTTGCGCTTCAAATGGCTTGTTGATTGTTGTCTCGGACCAGTCTTCAGATTCTCAAGTGGCGCACCGAGGAATAAAGATCGGGGTGTGGGTGTGGGTATGGATCTCCTCTTCATAAACACACCCACACCCAATCCATACCAATATCCTCGCTCGAATTTTTACTTAAAAAAA